AATCACGCTGATTTACGTTCATTATTCAAGTCAAATTTTAACTGTTAACCGAAAGCGAAATCGACTACGTACATAAGGTGAATGTTTTTTTTAATTTCGGGTTTGGGACCGCTTGGATTTTGATTACTTGGACCCATCTTGGACCCCGCCTCAGCTCTACACGTGTGCAAAATAAGTTTGTCAAGTGTAATTGCGAAATTTGTACTCTGTCCTCCGAGCAGTAGACCACGATCAAAATAAATTTATCAAAGACATCTAAATTAGACATGCACCGAGTACTCGGCGCTGCCGAGTAGTCGGCAGGTTTTGGCCATCCTCTCACTACTCGGCCGAGTATTTCTTGCATTTTTAAACATCCAATACCACGCTTATTTTCTGAAGCTGGGTTAGTTTACGAAGATGATTGATTAAGACTTTCTCCTGAAACTGCTCAAACATTAATTTTTTAACACCACAACTTGCCACATCTCGAATTCTTAAATTAATCGCGTCACGTCTGTATATTTGTTGTGTACATACTTCGGTATTGGGTTATTAGCTCCAGTGCTGTTCACGAGCTGTTATCGAGCCGTTTTTGAAACCTCCAGTGTGGGTTAAATAAAATTTTAGCCGGGTTCGCTTAATTTTTTCAGTTGAGAGAACAATTCCAGGCACTACGTGCAAGAATTTGGGATCGTAATTTGTTACCGTTTTTCATGGGCATAGCACTAAAGGGTGGAAAACTGTCGAGCCGAGCTGGCGGCTCGGCTCGACAGTTTTCCACTCTTGTCCTAGAAATTCAGCCAGATTGGGGCACTGACATAAATTGATATTTGTTCATGCGGTAGCTGGAATTGTTCTCTCAACTGAAAAAATTAAGTCAACTCGGCTAAAATTTTATTTAACCCACACCGGAGGTTTCAAAAACGGCTCGATAACAGCTCGTGAACAGCACTATAGCTCACGAGTAGCTCGGGAGCTATTGAATTCCTCTTGTCCGTCTGTCTGTGCGCCAGTCCGTCTGTCTATCCATCTGTCTGTAAATTAGTTTTTTGCATCAATTGATGCAGCTGAAAAACACCCTGCTTCATTATTTTTGGCCTGAGGAGCACCATTGGTATCGAACAATCCGTGCCGCAAATGGTGCGAATTAATTTTGCAAATAGATGGAGAAAGAGCTATGTACAGTTTTGGAATAAGTAGCACCTTTAGTATCGAATAATCGGTTATCTAAACTGATGCGAAACAATTGGGAGAATCGCTACAAAATGCACCAAAAGTGCAGAATAACGGGAAGAAATAGTTTATAAAAATTGGCACAACGATTTCATGGATTTGTGGCGAAATTATGTACAAATTAGATATTTAGTTTCTCGCCTTATTCTACACTATTGGCATGACTATTGTGTATCTATTCTTTTGGATTATTACACCAATGGTGCAAAACTGTATAACAGTTATGCACTTATCTTCTTGACTTATTCAACACCTTTGGTGCTAGGTCATATCAAATAGTTTTGATAGGGTGAGCTACTTTTAATGTTACCACGGTTTATTTGTTTGGCAAATTGTTTAATGTAAATGAAATTTTGAAAGTTTTATAACATAAGCAGTTTCCCGTTTATAGAATAATAGAGTTAGTCTTTAATTGTTAAGCAGTTCTGAGGCCTGTGGTACTTAATAAATTGTTGATTCTTTTGACAATTTACCGATGACCGAGCCTAGCTCGATAGTCGGTTGCCGAGCTTTGCTCGGTGCTCGGAAAAGCCCAGCAGAAACGAGTACTCGGCAAAAATATAGCCGAGTGCTCGGTACTCGGCCGAGTCGACTTTCTCGGTACTCGGTGCATGTCTAATCTAAATGCGTCTTATGTTTGAATGGGATGCTGAAATCTGGACTCTGTCCTCGCATCGGACCAGGACAAAGAAAGTCTTCAGAGACGAATGAAGGTGGTCTTATTTTTGGGGACGATGCTGACATGATTTGCATACATACGTACATACAGTAAGCAAAAGAATAGATCGTACCTATACGTATTTTTAATTGCGATATGAAACCGCCCACTTAGAGCTTCAGTTCCCTGCACCCTGTTGTATAAACTCATTGGCGAATAATTCCTCGTCGCCGATTTTTAAGGTCACCGCCCTGTCACAGGTCAGCATTTTTTTACCAATTCAAAATGAGAGGCCAAAATGAAAACTCCACGGATAATTTTTTTTGGACTTTCTAGTATTTTTTATTAGTTGCGGAAAGGCTTCACAAAAAAATGAGCTATCATATGACCCTGTACGATTTTTTTGACGCCCACAGGAATTTTTCACCATGGACAGTTTTGAGGCTAAAATCGTGACCGTGGCAAAATTCAAAGAATTGAAATATACAAAAACACATATTCGATGTTCAGATGTTTCTGTTATCCAATTCCTGTCCAAAAAAAATTATCCATGTAGTTTTCATTTTGGCCTCTCATTTTGAATTGGTAAAAAAATGCTGGCCTGTGACCGGGCGGTGACCTTAAAAATCGGCGACGAGGAATTATTCGCCAATGAGTTTATACAACAGGGTGCAGGGACCGCAGCTCTAAGGGGGCGGTTTCATATCGAAATTAAAAATACGTAAAGGTACGATCTATTCTTATGCTTACTGTAAATATGTACATGAATGCATTACTTATGTAAGTGTAACTAACAATGCGGAGGTGTGAGGTGGTTATCACAAATTTGAATGAGACCACTTCAGTTGGATAGTCCAGCTCAATAATATGGAGGTTTGGTTTATCATTTTTCTGAATGCGCAGATTTAGCAAAGTTATCGGAGTTTAAGTTGGCGAAAACGCTTGACTTTTGACTGCGAAAAGCGATATGTTCGTTCCCCTCACGCTCGCTTCCTCTAGCGGCCGCGTATATTTTCCTCGCTGGGGGTCATTGGTTTTCATGCAACCTCATCATTCCTCTCATTTTAAAGTTAAATTAATTGCTCTCAAAAATAAGATCTTATTTATCAGTTTAGTGCATGGTATAAAATATATTTTTACAAGTTACATAAATTAGACTAGGCCATGCGAATATTTTAAAAAATTACCTTCGAAAAAATAGCCAGATTGTGATCGTGAATGGACAATGAATTATTTATTCTCAACTGTAAATATCAATTATCGAACGGGGTGTTTATACAGGTTATTATTTGATTTGTATGGCAAAAGTCGTAACCGATTTCAACCGAACGACAAATCGCACCTCGAATTTCTCCCAATACATTTAAATTTGTCGAATTTACAAATGTCGTGAAATTGCAGTTGGTTGGAAAGTAAATTTATCGACTCCATTATTTGAAATTGTAACATAAAACTAAACAAAACGCAGTAAAACTATGAGAAAGTGGTGAATAGAAAAAAAATATAGTGAAAACCAATGACCTCTAGCGAGGAAAATATACGCGGCCGCGAGAGGAAGCGGGCGTGAGGGGAACGAACATATCGCTTTTCGCACAGTCAAAAATCAAGCGTTTTCGCCAACTTAAACTCTGATAACCTTGCTAAATCTGCGCATTCAGAAAAATGATAAACCAAACCTCCAGATTATTGAGCTGGACTATCCAACTGAAGTGGTCTCATTCAAATTTGCGATAACCATCTCACACCTCCGCATTGTGAGGAAAAGTTATTAAATTAAATTTATAGATTGCAGCAGGCATGATGCATTTTTACAAACTATTTATGAGATTGACCTGGAGGTCAAGATAAGCCGAGCTTGGTGTGTGATCTTTCTGTGTACTTCTTGGTACGTAAATATGTACGCGTCAGTCTTGCTGTCACGGCACGTGGAAATTTTTATGCATATTTGCTCAAATGCAGTGTTTCGGGTGCAAGTAACCACTTGCAAGAAATAACCGCAAGAAAATGGTTTCTTGCAGCTATTTTTACACGCAAGAAATGCAAGGTGCAAGAAACTCCTTCCCGCCGCTGTAATTCTTAGGTCGCGTCGCTAGAGGGCGCTGTGTTTCTTGCATTTCTTGCAGTTTCTTGCAACTTGCATTTCTTGCGTTTCTTGCTTTGCAGTGCAAGAAATTAAGCAAACTTGCAAGAAACGAAACACTGCTCACATGATATGGATGGGGACATATGTATATATTTGCAAACATTTCGTAAAAATTTTCTTTGCCAGGGTTCAACCACTCCGATGTTACCCGCTTGAAGATAATACATATATAACCCTTTTCAAAAATAAATACACTCTAAATTTTAAATTAAGTAGACTAAAGTAAATTCAGAGTATAATTAACTCGATAAAAAGTAAATTTTACTCAGGATTAAGAATAGTTCACCAGACAAGGGAAGGCGTGGCGTCAAACTTAAAAATCTGCATTTTAGACCAATTTCAAACCTGGAAGTTTTGCAATTCTGTGTTTCAATTTTGCAAAATTTTGTGCTTAAAATGATAACAAAAAGTCGAAATTTTAAGGACAAAGAATAATTTTTGTTTTGAATTTTTGAGCTACTTTTACGATTTTTTGGACGAACCTCTACGAAAATTGGGAGATTTTGCAAAAAAATGAAAAACTATTGTTTTTACAAAGTTACATTGCACTCAAAAGTTAAACTCTTCATCATGATTTTAGTCAATAAGTACGGAAATATTCGTCCAGGATTTTAAAATTTATGGCGGTTCAAAAAAATTAAAACAAACTGGCGAATATGGCGCCACACTGCGGCTCCAAATCTAAGTTTTACACGAATGAAAATATGAATCGATCCTTCATCTTTCGCTATGGTGGATTCTAAAAAAATATGCTAGGTACCTTGGACGCGTCAAGCTGTATGTATGTAGGGAATCTTCCCTTGTTATAAATGATAAGATAAATTTACTACGAGCATTATATCCATGCAATAAATTAGTCAGGAATGCAATCAAATGTCTATTTCTAATTAGAAAATCAGGACTGAGGATCATTCTTTTCATTAAGGATGAAAATTTCAGCGCAATCTCGCACCAAAAAAATACTTGACTTTTGAACGGAGAAAATTGTGGTGAAATTGATTATATTTTCAGTTAGATTTAGATTTAAGACAATAATTACGGAGATATGTACATATGTATTTTATGTACGACTTAACTATACAGGAATTTATTTGTTATGCAATTCCACAATGGATGCATACAAATATAAATGATTTAAAAATTGTATTCTCATATCAATATAATAATCGAATTTCTCATGGTTAGTCTGACACCAAAAAAATTTAAATGTCGGTGTGTTAGTTGGTATTTGTCATGGCCATCTCTGCTTCCCACTGATGGAGTATTCCAATCTTTAGGAGAGTGTGATGGTGGTCGGGACCCCAAACGGTTTTATCAAGTGTGACTACTTCCCTCATAATTTGCAATGCCTCCTCTCTATTTCCTGCCTTCCACAGACAATACGATAAGATGGTCATAGTACCAAGTGTTCTCCAGTGTTCTTCACCATATTTTGTTTTATATGACATATATTCCTCTCGTAAGATGGTTACAGCTTCTGAATGTTTGCCAGCCATCATTAGTCTACAGCCTGTCATAATACCCCTATGTTTCTCAAGTGGTGAGGCACATTCATCACCCTTGGCACCACTGCTATGTGCAATCGCTTCTTGTTTCTCTGGTTTCTGCACTAATTTTTGTAAAGGCTTTTCAAAATCAAGTGAGTCCGAACGTATTGATTGGTTTAAAAACATGCTCAACATCGGTGACAAATTGTCAAAAATGTTTTCATCTGATTTGCCCACAATCACACGTAAGTAAACTTTCGCTACGAAAATACACCTTTCTATTTCTTCTGAAAATCTTTCATCGGACATTTCGTCTCTTGTCCGTGTGGCTAACATCGTCTCGAACATGTCAATGGCATCCTGGTACTTCCCAATTTCGCGCAAAGCCCATCCAATATCAAACTGTAGTCGACGAGCGAGTATACTTTCTTTCCCTAACAGAGTAGATAGTAAATCGTAGTTTGTTTTTGCAAATGCCACCAACTCAGTGACCATGTTAAGTTCTATCATACGAGAAAAGATTTGGTGGGGCATGTATCTTTTGCTAAAAACTGCTCTCTCTTTATCATGATTTACTATAGACTCCCAAATGCTAATAATGTGTCGCAATTCTGGCGCTGTTGTGTTTTCCAGCTCAACAATGGGGATGAGAATATACCCTCCAGCATATTTCGAGTCTATCTTGGCTATTTTTTGAACAATTCGATGAACGGAAACCACCTCGTAATCCACGCTGATTAAGGAAAGTTCTTGAAGTCTGGTTAAGCCATCCTTAAAATATTTCAAGCGTATGCACTTGCTGTCGTCCACGAGTTTTTCAACTTTGTCTAAAATGTCCGGCCATTGCATAGGGCGGCCAGGCTTCCCTAGGACATATTGGCCCACCAGTTTGTGCAGATATTGAACCTCAATTCCATCTGGCCTAACCAGACAGAGTACATCCATTATTTGCTGACTCATTTCACCCTGAGGTCCATCTGTCTCTCGGATATATTTCATTGTTTTGTTGACAACGATGTAGATCGTTTCATCGTAATATAACTTCAACTTGTACTTCACAGGCTCTTCTTTATCCTTGTTAAATTCGGCAATATAGTCAGAAATCTTGTACCCTTTTCCTGCAGTGGAACAATTTTGCTGAGCACGAATATAAGCCACGGCCTGTGCACATGCTAAGGCATGATTTCCCAACATTTTACAAAGTAGCTGGACATCTGCATGGTCGACATTTTTAAGGGCATTGTGTACCAGCTTATAAGCATCTTCATCGGACAAAGATTTTAGCTTGAGTTGCTCCGTTACTCCATGCAGAATTTTAGCACATCGGGTAGTAATTAGCACGGATGCTGATAAATCTGTGAATTCTTGGACCACTTCAGGAAACCCATCGTACTCAGAATCAACGTTATCAATCACAACAAGCCAAGGGAATTTTTTGGGTAATAACTTGGCTCCAATATTTTTTATAAGTTTGTTTGCTGGGATGCGTTTTCCATAGCAGTCTTTCAGCTGCAAGTCAAGTCGTTCCGCATATTCGGAGATGGAGGTGACGAGTTGATCATAAGTGTCACCTTGGAACCAGGTCACAATTTGGGACGAGTTTTCTTCTTGAATTCGTTCTACAAATTTTTTGCAAAGTTGACTCTTGCCTTGACCCCCCATTGCGCTGGTAACTACACAGGTCCTCTTTTCCTTGAAGTAATCCTTAAGCTGTACAATTTCGTCTTCCCGTCCTACGAATGTCTTAATTGGAGGGCTAATGTTGAACGATTTGTCTTCTTGGGATATATCGATGGAATTAGTTGGTTGTTGCTTTGGAGGAGCTACGATTTGAGTTTTCGGATCACCAAGTTTCAGGATATACTCTGCAAGGCAAACAACATCATTTCAGTATTTTATTATAGAATAAAAAATATGTATGTCATCCTTATGCAATACATTTACACTCTTAGAAATCCAGTATTAGAATAATCCCAAGGGCTAATCATTTGTGACTCTGCAAAAGTGGAACTGATAAGCAATACCGTGTATTAATACAAAGATCGGTATTAAAGTTTTACCATCTCGGTAGCAATATTTTTACGGACCGGTATAATTTTCATACCAAGCTGTGGCAACTTTAATACCGAGAATGCAACACCTGCGTGACTATACAAGATTTCTAACAGTGCAGATGAACTGAAGACCGATGTCAGGCTAACTTCACACGGCATTTTATAAAATATCAGTTGGTCTAGTGCTTATATTTTATTGTTTTAACAATCCGACAAATTTGGATAACAGTTGTTTTTTAAAATATAAAAATTGTGTTAAGGTTCTTATAATTTGAATAGCTAACCAACATTACACTAATCTCTCTAATACTTCAATTAGTACAATCCCTCGAATTGAATTATTACTTATGATCATGCAGGGAAAATATGTGTTACCTGCCAATCTCAAAAAGTTCATCTCTTTCAGAATCTCTCCAAGTTTTCCGAGCGTGGCCGCTTCACCGTCAATTTCGACCCAGTTATCGATTATAGCTTTAAATACATCGTAACTCGTGGCAACTCCAAGCTTGTAGCTTGACAGAACTTGCACAATTTTGACTTCCGGAATACGCAAGGTATTAATAAGACGGGCGCAGTCACGAAGAAGATGAGCATCTTTTTCTAGTACGTCAACCACCAAATGGCTGGAAACGTTACAACTGGCCATTTTAGTGACCTGTAAAATAAATATTTATACATGTAAATCCTGAATTCCTCACCAATACTTAGCACGCACAATGGAGCCAATTTTCAAGATATACACTGTGTAAAGAAAATTTCGCCCCATACGTTTTTTGCGCGAGTTTCATCGTTCAAACAGCTATATTTTTTTTGACAAACGGTTTCGCGATTCGATTTTTTTAGACAATGAGACCAGTTGTTAAGCAATCACGAGCAGCAACTCGCAGCAAGATCCAAGTTCTACACGAAGAGGGATATGGCCCCATGCAAATTATGCCGGTAGACTAACAAAAGCCAGCCCTACAACAGAAAACATGATAAAGAGTTGGATGTACCGAAAACCAGGTAGTTCGGTGAGAAAATGTGCGAAGGCGCTAAACGAGTCCAAACGGTTTTTAAGAAAAGATAAGAAATTAAGCCACCAGCCCGTTCAAAATTTCATTAAAACTACAACATGGGGTAAGACTGCGTTTAAGAGTTCCTGTAAACCACTTCTTAGTGCCAAAAATATTTCTGATCGGGTGAGATTTGGAACTTTTCTCAACGAAAACAGGTACCTGACGGATGGACGGAGAGGTCACGAGAAGCGGTCAAATATTTTGTTTACGGATGAGTTGGTTAGGATGAGACATGGATTGAACTTTGCCCTCAGCCTCATCACCAGAATCTACGCTATAGAACTGAAAAAAGGTCGGATGTCCCTCCCACTTTAATACCGAAAAAAGGACTCAAACTTATGGTTGCTGGTGGGTTCTCTTCGCGTGGAGTCACGGATCTGCACATTGTTCCAGCCGGTCAGACTGTAACCGGAAACTACTACAGGACCCAAATCCTACCTATTTACTCGAAAGCCTTGGACACTAAGGTATTGTTTCCAAAAAAGAAATTGGTCACTTTTCAACAAGATGGTGCCCCAGCTCACACCGCAAATGCCACGATGCACATTTTGGATGGCTGGGACATTACCATATGGGGGAAGGGGGTGTGGCCTGGAAACTCACCGGATTTGAACCCGATAGAAAATTTATGGTCCATACTCAAGGATTCCGTGTATGAAGACCCAAAACCAACGACAAAAGATGCCCTTATTCAAAGATTTAAAAAGTCGTGGAAATCAATATCAAAAACCACTCTGGAAAACTTGGCACATAGTTTCAAAAAACGAATTGAGCCCATGATGAAAGCTAACGGCGGACACACTACATACTGAGATATTATTTTTAAAATACCATTTGGTCATATCTGTATTAGTCGCTGAATAACAATGAGTTTAAGTTGTATGAAAAATATGGGGCGCAATTTTCTTTACACAGTGTACAGGGATTTTTAATCAAGTAATGAGAACAAAATCAAGCCTAAAATAAGCAGTCACGTGAAACTTATCTTTCCATTGAATGGCCCCTTTGAAGTACAATTTGAAGTACAAGGCAGCTGCGTGGCTCTGCCCCCAATGTTTTTCTTCGTAAGGGCCACCCAGCGGAAATATGAGTGTCATGTGACTTCTACATTTGGCTCATCCTTTTCACACAACTCGCTGGAAAATCCCGGTGTAGCTTGAAAATAGGTTCAACTGTCAGAATGAATGGCCTATTTATTTTATGTCGTCAAATTTAATTTATGGTGACGTTAAGGAGTGGCTTCGTTCGTGTCCGGTTTTGTTAACACAATACGTTGCTGTGGGCAGGATTGAGTTTGGTGTCGCAGTCAGTTCTAGATAAGCCCTGCAGACAAGGGTATCATGACAAACATGTCTAGGCTGTGCTTATGTATGATAACCTACCAAATTTTACATGAGCAAATTGAACTTATTGCGACCAGTTAGACTGACTACCCAGTAGAGAATAAACGTTGGCATTACCCAACTTTGAATTGGTTCTTGATAAGGTCTGGTGATACGTAGATAAAAGTTGTCGATTTAAGGATAACCTGATTTATTAAGGGGTGAAAGCCCTTTATAAGATCGTTATGTCCGTCCGTCCGTCCGTCTGTCTTTCTGGCTGTCTGTCTGTAGCTCCGATAACTATTGAACGAAAAGACCTAGAGACTTGAAATTTTGAACGTAAACTCTTAACGTCATGGGACAGGATGAGTTCGAAGATGGACACTGTGACATCGTCACCTGTGACGATGACGTCGTCACGGTGACGAAAAGTGACGAAAAAGTCTCACATTTTAGTTTTGGCTTATGACACATCGTTTTTAACTATTTTTCAACGAGGAATTCGATAATTCATGTCATTTTGTGATTGGACGTCCCCTGTGACGATGACGTCGTCACGGTGACGAAAAGTGACGAAAAAGTCTCACATTTTAGTTTTGGCTTATGACACATCGTTTTTAACTATTTTTCAACGAGGAATTCGATAATTCATGTCATTTTGTGATTGGACGTCCCCTGTGACGATGACGTCGTCACGGTGACGAAAAGTGACGAAAAAGTGTCAAATTTTAGTTTTGGCATGTGACACATCGTTTTTAACTATTTTTGACGAGGAATTCGATAATTCATGTCATTTTGTGATTGGACGTCCCCTGTGACGATGACGTCGTCACGGTGACGAAAAGTGAGGAAAAAGTGTCAAATTTCAGTTTTGGCTTATGACACATCGTTTTTAACTATTTTTCAACGAGGAATTCGAAAATCCATATCATTTTGTGATTGGACGTCACCTGTGACGATGACGTCGTCCCGGTGACGAAAAGTGACGAAAAAGTCTCACATTTTAGTTTTGGCATGTGACACATCATTTTTAACCATTTTTAATGAGGAATTCGAAAATTCATGTCATTTTGACATTGGTCGTCACGTGTGACGATGACGTCGTCACGGTGACGAAAAGTGACGAAAAAGTATCACATTTTAGTTTTGGCATGTGACACATCGTTTTTAACTATTTTTCAACGAGGAATTCGAAAATCCATATCATTTTGTGATTGGACGTCCCCTGTGACGATGACGTCGTCACGGTGACGAAAAGTGACGAAAAAGTGTCAAATTTCAGTTTTGGCTTATGACACATCGTTTTTAACTATTTTTCAACGAGGAATTCGAAAATCCATATCATTTTGTGATTGGACGTCACCTGTGACGATGACGTCGTCCCGGTGACGAAAAGTGACGAAAAAGTCTCACATTTTAGTTTTGGCATGTGACACATCATTTTTAACCATTTTTAATGAGGAATTCGAAAATTCATGTCATTTTGACATTGGTCGTCACGTGTGACGATGACGTCGTCACGGTGACGAAAAGTGACGAAATAGTGTCACATTTTAGTTTTGGCACGTGACACATCATTTTTAACTATTTTTCAATGAGGAATTCAATGGTGACCTCCATTTTGACCTCTGAGGTCATCTAAAGGTCATAGGTCATATGTATGTCAATCTGCACTGAAAATAGGTTCAATTGTCAGAGTGAATGGCCTATTTATTCCGTGGGATGGATTTTTTATTGAAAATAGTATCGAAGTTTCGCACACGGGATTGTTTTACGTTGTTGATATATTACCCACAAATTGGGCACTGTTATACATATGTACCTCCCCGGTTGACATTTTATCATTTAGAGTGTATTTATTAAGTAATGAGTAATTACGGCAACTTACCAAATTTTATGTCGTCAAATTTAATTTATGTGACGTTAAGGAGTGGCTTCGTTCGTGTCCGGTTTTGTTAACACAATACGTTGCTGTGGGCAGGATTGAGTTTGGTGTCGCAGTCAGTTCTAGATAAGCCCTGCAGACAAGGGTATCATGACAAACATGTCTAGGCTGTGCTTATGTATGATAACCTACCAAATTTTACATGAGCAAATTGAACTTATTGCGACCAGTTAGACTGACTACCCAGTAGAGAATAAACGTTGGCATTACCCAACTTTGAATTGGTTCTTGATAAGGTCTGGTGATACGTAGATAAAAGTTGTCGATTTAAGGATAACCTGATTTATTAAGGGGTGAAAGCCCTTTATAAGATCGTTATGTCCGTCCGTCCGTCCGTCTGTCTTTCTGGCTGTCTGTCTGTAGCTCCGATAACTATTGAACGAAAAGACCTAGAGACTTGAAATTTTGAACGTAAACTCTTAACGTCATGGGACAGGATGAGTTCGAAGATGGACACTGTGACATCGTCACCTGTGACGATGACGTCGTCACGGTGACGAAAAGTGACGAAAAAGTCTCACATTTTAGTTTTGGCTTATGACACATCGTTTTTAACTATTTTTCAACGAGGAATTCGATAATTCATGTCATTTTGTGATTGGACGTCCCCTGTGACGATGACGTCGTCACGGTGACGAAAAGTGACGAAAAAGTCTCACATTTTAGTTTTGGCTTATGACACATCGTTTTTAACTATTTTTCAACGAGGAATTCGATAATTCATGTCATTTTGTGATTGGACGTCCCCTGTGACGATGACGTCGTCACGGTGACGAAAAGTGACGAAAAAGTGTCAAATTTTAGTTTTGGCATGTGACACATCGTTTTTAACTATTTTTGACGAGGAATTCGATAATTCATGTCATTTTGTGATTGGACGTCCCCTGTGACGATGACGTCGTCACGGTGACGAAAAGTGACGAAAAAGTGTCAAATTTCAGTTTTGGCTTATGACACATCGTTTTTAACTATTTTTCAACGAGGAATTCGAAAATCCATATCATTTTGTGATTGGACGTCACCTGTGACGATGACGTCGTCCCGGTGACGAAAAGTGACGAAAAAGTCTCACATTTTAGTTTTGGCATGTGACACATCATTTTTAACCATTTTTAATGAGGAATTCGAAAATTCATGTCATTTTGACATTGGTCGTCACGTGTGACGATGACGTCGTCACGGTGACGAAAAGTGACGAAAAAGTATCACATTTTAGTTTTGGCATGTGACACATCGTTTTTAACTATTTTTCAACGAGGAATTCGAAAATCCATATCATTTTGTGATTGGACGTCCCCTGTGACGATGACGTCGTCACGGTGACGAAAAGTGACGAAAAAGTGTCAAATTTCAGTTTTGGCTTATGACACATCGTTTTTAACTATTTTTCAACGAGGAATTCGAAAATCCATATCATTTTGTGATTGGACGTCACCTGTGACGATGACGTCGTCCCGGTGACGAAAAGTGACGAAAAAGTCTCACATTTTAGTTTTGGCATGTGACACATCATTTTTAACCATTTTTAATGAGGAATTCGAAAATTCATGTCATTTTGACATTGGTCGTCACGTGTGACGATGACGTCGTCACGGTGACGAAAAGTGACGAAATAGTGTCACATTTTAGTTTTGGCACGTGACACATCATTTTTAACTATTTTTCAATGAGGAATTCAATGGTGACCTCCATTTTGACCTCTGAGGTCATCTAAAGGTCATAGGTCATATGTATGTCAATCTGCACTGAAAATAGGTTCAATTGTCAGAGTGAATGGCCTATTTATTCCGTGGGATGGATTTTTTATTGAAAATAGTATCGAAGTTTCGCACACGGGATTGTTTTACGTTGTTGATATATTACCCACAAATTGGGCACTGTTATACATATGTACCTCCCCGGTTGACATTTTATCATTTAGAGTGTATTTATTAAGTAATGAGTAATTACGGCAACTTACCAAATTTTATGTCGTCAAATTTAATTTATGTGACGTTAAGGAGTGGCTTCGTTCGTGTCCGGTTTTGTTAACACAATACGTTGCTGTGGGCAGGATTGAGTTTGGTGTCGCAGTCAGTTCTAGATAAGCCCTGCAGACAAGGGTATCATGACAAACATGTCTAGGCTGTGCTTATGTATGATAACCTACCAAATTTTACATGAGCAAATTGAACTTATTGCGACCAGTTAGACTGACTACGCAGTAGAGAATAAACGTTGGCATTACCCAACTTTGAATTGGTTCTTGATAAGGTCTGGTGATACATAGATAAAATTTGTCGATTTAAGGATAACCTCATTTATTTCACTTGGAATATATGCACGTAATATTTAGTATGGTGCCGATAAAGTTTGAAGGCTTAGATAAGTACGCAGACATAAATATGTGATAACTACTCCGTTTGTGCATCCATAAATACGTACACATTTATTTACCAAGTAAATTTATTAAACATTAACGGGATTACTTACCATTTTTCACGGAGAAATTACATGTAAGTAATTCTTAAACTTCCCATTTTTATTCTTGGTGTCCAATTAAAGTTGCTCCATTTTCTTACTAGTAAAAGCACAAAGTATTTAGCTACATAACTACTCAAGCGTTCTTCTCACGAGGAGAAGTTTTGAGTAGGAGTAATGTCTTATGGTCCATCCAGAAAGTCCTGAGCAAGGGAATTCTCGGGAGGTTAATTGGCGGACCTCTCCATAAGTAATAACATGTAAAGTTTCGAAATTAATTGCACGGCCATTTCTCGATGGATTTTCAAGATGGCGTACATTTTGGAAACCTTGGACCCTTGGGAAAAATATACATTTTCAGAATTTTCAAATTCAACCCCACCCCCTCGAAATCCAGGTCATAAGGTCAAAAAACAAGTGACACTTCTCTCTCGGATTTTAAAATTCTACGACGGGATTCAACGGACCTGGGTGTAAATTCTCGGCGGCAGTAGTCAGGTCATCATATTCAGTGACTAGTAGACCACACCCTCCGCTTTGGGGTCATTGTGGGGGTGGTAAAATGTCAAATCAGCACACTTAACGTAGAAAAAAATTCTCCCCACCGTAGTTTTCGAAATTCAATGTCGCAAATACACATATTCTTACCAAGGTCCCCTGTATGAACGACATTCCATTGTCGTAGGCCACATGGCGACAGGGGGTGTGGTTATTGGCGCTTCTGCCAATACACTACCAATGCACGCCATGTGACATATCATTTTCCTCAGGACGGTTAGGCGATTTCAATGGCATATTTCAAATTAAAATACGCCACACCCCCAGTGGGTGTGGCTGTAGCTATCCAGTGAATCCAAATAAACCTGGTCATGCGACACATCAATTTTCTCAGCACGACAAGGGGATTTCAGTGACGTAATTTAAATTTTATAAACCACACCCACTGTGGGTGTGGTGTGGGATTTACGAGGAATGGAATGTCGCGAAGAGAGCAAAAATATGTTTTGAAGAGTGGTGCGTGGAATCGAACCACGCGTCTCCCGTTATCCAGACAGGCACCCTACCACTAGGCTAACCAGCCCCTCTTCATACTTTTGCTCTCTTTTCCATCCATCATATTCCACTATTCTCTCCCACAGTGGCTGTAGCTATCCAGTGAATCCAAATAAACCTGGTCATGCGACACATCAATTTTCTCAGCTCGAAAAGTGGATTTCAGCGACGTAGTTTAAATTTTATAAACCACACCCACTGTGGGTGTGGCTGTCGCTATCCAGTGAATCGAGATAAACCTGGTCATGGGACATATCAATTTTCTCAGCTCGACAAGGGGATTTCAGTGACGTAGTTTAAATATAATTCGCCACACCCCTGTGGGTGTGGCTGTCACTATCCAGCGAATCGAGATAAACCTGGTCATGCGACATATCAATTTTCTCAGCTTGCTAAGGCGATTATACTGATGTTGTTCAAATGTAAAATGCCACACCCCTGTGGGTGTGGCTGCTAGTATTCTGTGAATGTACTTAAACTGGGTAATGCGACACATGAAGTTTTTCATCAAGTCAAGGCCCGCACGACGGAATGATTAACATGCCAAACCACGATCCCTGTATGTGTGGTTATAGGCTCCAGGCGAATTTTGCGAAACCTAGACATTTGATCTGTAAATTCTCTCACATACTCACGCCGGTCAAAGTAACATAATTCAAAGTTAAGAAACCACTCCCACAACGGATGACGTTTGCAACACTTGTGCAAATCTTCGAAACCAGATTATGTGACATAATCCGATTACCTAGCTTGGGCCACTTATTTTGAGACAAGTGTAAACGCTCGCGCCAAAAAACTGGCACCACGTAAACAAATACGGTCTATGTACACTGTTTGATACACAAACTAATCAAGTAAGACTCTGATTTTTTTCTACTTCAAGTTCTGAAAACTGGTTCCTCCGTGAGCATTTTAAGTGGAGGTACTAGTGAAAATGTTTCCCAGCCACATTTGCAACGGAAGTGCATTAAAAAAAGCTTAATGCAAGTGAGCATGAAATTTGTGGGGCCTTAATTTATAGAACAATACGTTTAGAAGATGGTGGAGCGCAGGCAGTTAATTAGGGACTGCCTCCTCTCCCAAAAACCGCCCACTATTAGAACGGTCGAAAATGCCAAAAAACGGAGCTCAATCGTTTGAGCAACCAAGAAGCCCTAAAGAGCATTCGCAGTATGGCGAAACTAATAAAATCGAATCCCACAACTATGCAAACAGTCATTAAAAGAGATTTTGAGAAAATGAAACGGAAGAAAACAAAACTGAACGAGTTGAACGAGAGTCGCATGGCCAATCGCAAGTTTCAACGCTAAAAAGCTGTACCAGAATCACCTTGCTGGAAGTAGGGACCAACATGTGGTCACAATCGACGAAGCTTTGTTCAGGGTAGATGACTGCAACCGGACAAGGTCAATTTGCTGTGCGTCGAGAGAAAATGTACAAATTAGTTACGACTTTAGATGGAAAAGTTTTAAGAACGAGTGGTTAAAAATCAGCCTTCAAAAGTGTCAGGAAGTGTTTTCATCAACGAAGAAGCGTTGCAGACTTGTTGCCCATAATAAGGGGCATCAGATCGAGCAAGTTAATTATCCAAAAAAATTCATATCTAGATTAAAAAAATTACTGAACTCGTCTCAAAATAAGTGGCCCACTCTCTGTATTATATGTGGCAAGCTGGTAGCACTTCCTTCTGTTGCACTAATTTTTCAAATCGGCAATCAGTGGTTTCCATTTTAAATTTGTTCAAAATAGATCCCCACGCAGGTAGGAAAGTGACGCGTAATTACGAGTTATCCTGAGTGGTTCCGTCAAACTCCAAAATTCGTTATCAACACACACGAGTGTACATAGATCCCGGACTTTAATTATTATACATAATGATGGAGATACTGCCCTTCATATAAGAAAAACGATTTTTCACATACGCTGGTTTTGTAAACGAATAGTCCAGCCCAAGTGCAGTTGTGATTTCGCATTATAAAAATTTGATCGCCGTTATGAAATTTACACGGCGCATGAGTGGTTTCGCCAAATTTACCGGGAACCGCAAACCACAACCGCAGTGGGTGTGACATTGTTAATCATCCCGTGGTCGTCGCCTTGACTAGCTGAGAAACTTGATGTGTCGCATTACCCAGTTAAAGTACATTTACAGAATACTAGCAACCACACCCACAGGGATGTGGCATTTTAAATTTGAACAACATCAGTATAATCGCCTTAGCAAGCTGAGAAAATTGATATGTCGCATGACCAGGTTGATTTCGATTCACTGGATAGCGACAGCCACACCCACTGGGGGTGTGGCTAGTTAAATTTAAGCTACGTCACTGAAATCCCCTTGTCGAGCTGAGAAAATTAATGTGTCGCATGACTAGGTTTATTTGGATTCACTGGATAGCTACAGCCACACCCACCGGGGGTGTGGCGTATTTAAATTTGAAATATGCCATTGAAATCGCCTAACCGTCCTGAGGAAAATGATATGTCACATGGCGTGCATTGGTAGTGTATTGGCAGAAGCGCCAATAACCACACCCCCTGTCGCCATGTGGCCTACGACAATGAAATGTCGTTCATACAGGGGACCGTGGTAAGAATATGTGTATTTGCGACATTGAATTTCGAAAACTACGGTGGGGAGAATTTTTTTTTACGTTAAGTGTGCTGATTTGACATTTTACCACCCCCACAATGACCCCAAAGCGGAGGGTGTGGTCTACTAGTCACTGAATATGATGACCTGACTACTGCCGCCGAGAATTTACACCCAGGTCCGTCGAATCCCGTCGTAGAATTTTAAAATCCGAGAGAGAAGTGCTGCTTGTTTTTTGACCTTGTGACCTGGATTTCGAGGGGGTGGGGCGTAATATCAAAAATTTGAAAATGTATAATTGGCACAACGGTCCGAGGTTTTTCCCAAGGGTCCAAGGTTTCCAAAACGTGCGCCATTTTGAAAATCTATCAAGAAATGACCGTGCAAATAATTCCGAAACTTTACATGTTATTACTTACGGAGGAGGTCGGCCAATTAGCCTTTTAGTATTATTAACATTGGCCGATGCTCAAGACTTTCTGGATGGACCATAGTCTCATGCTTCCCTCGCGCTTTGCGTAATACATTCTTTAGTAATCATCATTTTCGGAATTGGACTTCATATTCGTCATCTCCATGAATTTCTGAAAATTTAGAAATGTAATACAATCACTTTTGACCAATTTAGGATGTTTTTCAAATATGTCCATATGTACTTAGTTGCACTAGTAAATGGTCACATATGTACATACTTACAAAAACACATAACCAAAGTATTCCGACCCAGTGTTTTATTGGGTGGGGTTTTTGGGGTTTTAATGGGTTTTAATGGGTTGTTAATGAATAAAACCCAATGGATTTTACCATGTTAAATGTGTTTTATTTGGGTTTTAATGGGTTTTAACTGGGGTTTACCTTAAGACTATATTCTAAAAGTTGAAAACATCTCTCATAAGTAGGACGAAGTCATTTTACGGCAACTAAGCAGTTTATCTCATTAATATTATAAGTTTTTAAAACTCGAAATAAATCAACGAATGCATCTTACCATCCGTTACCATCACAGGTTTCAAGTGATACAAAAAATTAATTTCTGAACGGGGAATGTTCAACTAATCATACATAAGTTAATACTATTTGTTCAAAAGTACTCGAATTTTTCCAGAAGTGATAATACACGTTAAGGTACCAGAAGAAAAATTTATTCGGAAAATTTGAAGACATAAAATCTGACCCTAGTAACTATTTTTTCGTGCATTTTAGAAAAATTAAGCGATAAATAATACGTAACAACCACATTTTAAGTGTGGGTTTTTAGTTTTCAAAAATCAACCCTGGATTTTTCCGTATACATATTTTTAAGATTCCAATGGAATTGAATGCCCAATTAGTTAATATAGACATCCATAGCTGTCTGTATTAGATGAAGTTGGTTTTAATGCCATTTAT